TTGGAAGGGCTGAAGAAACAAAAGGGAGGGTAGAGGGTGCTGAAGGGATGCAGGTTAAAGGGGTGGCACCCACTGCAGTGCAGGGAGAGGTGCACAGTGTCTGGAGTGGCCGTGGAGGGGCCACATGAGCACGGCCGATGCGGAGACCTGGTCCCACTGCTGCAGAGAGCAATGGCTGCCTGTCCTTCCTCCCATCTTCTCACGTCTTGCCAGGGCTCCCATTGCCAGAAATTAACAGCTGGCAGGGAAATCTGGAAAATCCAGCACATAAAGCATAGTATAGAAGGGAGAGGGTCGGGGTTGAGGCAACAGAGAAATAACCAGGAGAGGAAGAACCGACAAAATGTGGTGATAGATTGGATGTGGGAGGTGAAAGGAAAGAATCGAGGATGACTCCCAGGTTTTTGGGCTTGAGGAACTGGATAATAGGGGAAGGTGGGGCAAGAATTGATTGAGGGAAAAATTACATTAAAATGCTAGACTGTCTGCCTAACATACATGATAAACCACATAGAAAGGAGGGGAGTCATTTCTTAGAATCCTAACCAACTGTGAGGCTCACATTATGCTGGAATGTGAGGAGCAGGGCTTTGGAGCTCAGGCCTCCCCCTGACACCGGGTCTGCACCAGGTGCTGCGCGCTCGGTGGATTTCATTAATGCTCACACTTAACTCATCGGGAAAAGAGAAGCAAAATGTGATGGGAGCTCAGATTCTCCACTAGGTTTTAGGGAACAGTCAGATTGGCTTCTTTGGCTAGAGCTGAGTGAGACTCCGCACTGAGATAGAGTTCCTTTCTGTCATTCATGGTAGTTCTGTTCTGTAAGTAGCCATGAACACTGAATTAACAAATACTGAACCATTGCTCCTGGGGAAATACGGGGTTAGATTCCTTTGTGCCTCTGGTCGCAACATTTTCATTTGCCAGCCATTGGTTCGTTGAGTTCACAGCCACCAGCACTTGTCCAGTGAAACTTGTCTCACACTCTCTCCACCAGGCACATCACATCCTTACACTTAGGAACACTAGACAGCCGCTCGGAACCATGCCCGGGGCCGTTTCAAACCGTAAAATCGTGCATTGGCTAGACCTTGACAAGGGCCCTGCTTACAATGTGAGAGCTGGAGCCAGGGGCCCTGGGCGCCTGGGCAGCCTCTAAGTTTCACTGCTGTGAGCATGTTTGCAGATAATCACGAAAACACTGCACACATTGGCTTTGAGGTTGCAAATAAAGTATAGCGTGTGTGTGAATTCACAAATATGGAATCTTCAAATTATGAGGATTAACTGTACCTCCTCCCTAACTTACTGGTTAACAGGTAGGCCTTCTAGCTTTTCTCGCTACTTCAGCACACCCACCCACCATAGCTCTCCAGTGATCATCTTCAGACAATGTTTTCATCATGGGCTCCTTTCTTCTCTTTAACAATCTGTAGTTACTCCCTTTTGGCTTGCTCTGTGGCCTGGGGAAAATCAATTTAACTTCTATGCCTCAGTTAATCTATCTAGGAATCAGTTACAATAAACACTAACAGCCCTAGCCGGTTTGGCTCAGTGGATAGAGCGTCGGCGTGCAGACTGAAGGGTCCCATGTTCGATTCCAGCCAAGGGCACATGCCTGGGTTGTGGGCTCAATCCCAGTAGGGGGCATGCAGGAAGCAGCCAATCAATGATTCTCTCTCATCATTGATGTTTCTATCTATTTCTCCCTCTCCCTTCCTCTCTGAAATCAATAAAGAAATATATTTTAGCCCTGACCGGTTTGGCTCAGCGGATAGAGCGTCGGCCTGTGGACTCAGGGATCCCGGGTTCGATTCCGGTCAAGGGCATTGCGGGCACATTCCCAGTGGGGGGCGTGCAGGGAGCGGCTGATCGATGTTTCTCTCTCATCGATGTTTCTGGCTCTCTGTCCCTCTCCCCTCCTCTCTGTAAAAAATCAATAAAATATATTAATATATATATATATTAAACACTAACAATTCATAGTCTTGTCCTGTGAATAAAAAACATGAAAACATTACGTGCCACAAAAAGTGAGATATAATAATTCTATTACTAAGTATACAGTTTCAACTTGGCCTTTAGACTTTCCACTGGGCTAGTCTCTTCGTACCCCAAAGTCCTCACATCCCATAATTCCCCACTGTGAACTACAATCCCAGGCACTTGCCATGACTCATATGTTCCCACCTCTAACCAACCTCTATGCAGGCTCTGTTCCTGGCTTGAAGTGTCCCTCACCTCTGCCAATCCTAGATTCTCAGCACTTCCAAATAAACAAACGTAAAACAAATATTTACATCTTCATTTCCTCCTTTCACCTTATTTATTAAAATGACAATATAGGAATAAAAAACTCCCAAACAAGGACAAATAGTAAGAAAAAAAGTTACAGCAGACAAAATAGCAACAATTTTTTAAAGCTTTTTTTTAATGTTTCAATTACAGTTGGTATACATTATTATATTAGTTTCAGGTGTACACTCCAGTGATTAGACATTACATGACTTACTAAGTGATCATCCCAAAAAAACTCACACCCATCTGATACCACACTTAGTAATGAGAATATTATTAACTATATTCCCTATGCTGTACTTTACTTCCCCATGACTATTCTGTAACAACCAATTTGTACTTCTTAATCCTGTCACCTTTTTAAAAATATATATATATTTTGATTTTTTACAGAGAGGAAGGGAGAGGGATAGAGAGTTAGAAACATCTATGAGATAAACATTGATCAGCTGCCTCCTGCATACCCCCGAGTGGGGATGTGCCCACAACCAAGGTACATGCCCTTGGCCGGAATCGAACCTAGGACCCTTCAGTCCGCAGGCCAACGCTCTATCCACTGAGCCAAATGAGTCAGGGCCCTGTCACCTTTTTAACCCAGCCTCCCAACCCCCCCCCCCCCCCAT